TCTGTTAAAGCAGCAGAGTTAGACCGATTTTTGTTATTTCCTCAAAATTTCTCGGGAGATGGTACCGTCAATTAATTTCATTTTGAAGGTCAAAACACTGATAAAGATACAGCCATTTGACCGCTGACCATCCACTATCACCTGAGGGCGTAAGAAAATAAGTTGGAATTTCGCTTTGGAAATAAGCAAAATGCCTTTTTGTTTCCAATTTTATTCTGTAGCAGTGAAAACTGAATGCTGGGAGGTATGTAGCTCATGCCGGCGGATCTAGCACAGACGCGCTTGACGTTTGATTCCTTTCCAGCAGCACTGGTTTCCTATGCAAACTTTCAGCGGAGATTTGAGCTCTTTAAATTTTGGTACTTTTAGTGCGAATCGTATGAAGATCAAAACGGTGAAGAAAATTATGTCGAGGAGCCAATTCATGGAACCACGGAGCATCCGCAGCAGAATCTCGAGGATTTGACTGTCCGCGTACCAGTAGAGAACGGCAACAGTGCCTAAGACGATTCTTCCTAGAACAATTGATTTATTATTTATTGTTAGTAGTCATAGTACCGTTAAATAAAATATATTTGAGTTAAATAATTTGTGATTCAACAAACTCAGCAAACTTCAGTACCTACGCACAAGACGATACTCTCTAAACCCGCTTGCAACCCAAAAAAGTAGCTTTTTTTACACAAATTCGACGGGATGGTGATGGGAGGAAGTCAGTACGTGTTTTAATATTTCATTTAGTTGCGCACAATTCTCCAGTTACGCTACTAGTAATTTTTTCAGTTGTTCTGACTCATGCTTCACGCAGTCAGTCTATTGGTATCTTGGCACTGATTTCGTCTTAACGGCTTTTCCGACAAGAACGACCTACGAGTCTGTCAGTTGGAGATATCACCTTGCTCCGAAGGTAGCCACAATGAGATTATTCACCGACTAGGGCAGCATCACAGGTTACCAAAAACTCATACATATTCAAACTACGCGCATCGCTCTTCAAAAAGCCGATATCTAAACCCTTAAGTACTCAAGTAAAGGCTCACTCACTTGCTTCTGCGCATAATCTGGCATATTTATGCAATCATGAGCTATTCCTGTGCTTTGGTACTGTTCCTATATGAGTTTCGCAAACGCAATCTCAATAATTCACACATCACACAAGTGTCAAGGTCGCTTTTGCGAGACTTTGGGTGGTTGACGCCGGCAATATGCTATCACTCAGGCTACTTACAAGTGCCTCTTCCAGAGAGTGAAATATCTATCGAGGGGGGCGGAGAAGGATCTTTAATTTGTTAAAAATTTCAAGACCAA